ACACCTGAATATCTTCAAAAACTGATCTCTAAACATGTATCCATACAGAGCCTGCGCTCTTCAACACAGTCCTTACTGAGAGTTCCCAGTGGGGATGGACACAGAGAGAAGTCATACGGGGTGCGCTCTTTTGAAGCTATTGCGCCTAAATTGTGGAACATGTTTGCCTCAACCTTTGAGGGACATTAAACATGATAAAACGTCATTTAAGAGTTTTTCTTTAAATAGATATTAGGGCATCAGACAGAGCACTGTGCGCATGCTAAAATCACTCAATCCATAAATGACGTCATGCAATTGTGGCGGATTTTCGAGCCCCGCCCCTACCCCCACATTATTTCAACAATTATATTGAAAAGATTGACGTAGGCCTACTTGGGGGGGGGGGGTACGATTTTTGACAGAAGGGAGGGGTAAATATTGTTCAAAATAACTTGACATACTTAATGAACGGCCCCTTAACTATTATCCTGTTAATGACGATTTTGGTGCCCTTTGATGACTGCTGTTTTCACCCGGGGCGGGCGCCCCCACCCTAATCGTACCTCCACGTGACATTGCTTCTATATTCATTAAAAAATGTGTGTTGTAGGTTAAGGTTGGCAAAATAATTTAATTATTTAATTTTACTACGTTCAATGGCAAAATTTATATATATATATATATATATATTTAAATCTGCGAGACTATTATTTCGAAATTAACGAAAGAGTTTTTTGATGTCAAACAGGAAAATAATCAAGCGGGAAGTAGGAATTGACGGACTTGCGCCAATCAACTTGAGCACAGCAAACATAACAAACTATTATGTGTAACTATCGAAGTTATTAAATATACGTTTATGGGATGAGTTCACAAGATATAAATAGTGATTGTTCTTTATATAATAAAAAGGTTATTATTTAAACCTGTATTAAACTGACGACATGTAAGTGTTTCGCCGCCACACTTCGTGACGTCAACCAGGCCTCTGCCTCTACACTTCTACACCTTACTTTACTACTTACAACAACCACACATCACACACTAAATCTCATGACAGTTCTTATAGTAGACTGAATACAGTACTCTCATACTCTGTGTTCAGAGACTCACTCAACTCACTGACTGTTAATGAATGATATTTCATTAGTATTAGTTGTAAGTTGTATATTTTTTTAAGGGCAAGGGATCCTTAATTAATAATATCATTTAATATGTATTTATCTTAATCCATGACATTTTTATGAGTAGACCTAATTTACCCTATTAATTATAATACTTCTAGAGTCTAGCTACTCTAGAGAAGCTTACTTTCAAAATCATTATATGCCTAGGTCTAGAACTTGGATGACTCATTCATTCATTGTAATAAATATCACTAAGACTATGGCCATGGCAGTCTATGGCATGGCTAGGCTATAATAGCCATCATCATAGCTAATGAATAATCATGTCATAATTTACGCCAGGGCTGTTATCTACTACAATTACATCATGTAATGTCAATGACATATTAAAATGTATGCCTCAAATTATTCTGTTTATTTGCGGGCATTGATTGAAGTTGAAATAAAAAAAAGTAGTCTTATATTATAATGAATAATGGAGTGGTTATTTACAGTTGGCTGGGAATAACGTTGAGCTAACATTAGTAAACCATTTATGGACTGGGAATAATGCATCAGCCTAAAATGCCTAAAGAAAAGAAGGCCCAATAAAATTTTAAAAACTCCTTTGAGACCTTTATTATTTGGGCCTAATAACTAGCTTTATACTTTTTATATCTATTTAGGAGACTCATCGCTTTAATGGTCTTTGTCTTTATAATTCTAGCCTAATAAAACGTGTAATTGATCTTCCCATTGTTGCTTCGGCTTCACTTTCATTTCATTGTCCCTCTGTATTAATATGTATGAACAATGTGTATCAAATAGTTAAACCTAAAATATTCTTCAGTTTATCACAGACTCTGATGTAGTGGATTATACTGGTGTGACTAAAGACTCTTCCTGCGAACAGCTAAGCCTAAATACATCAGACTCCGGAATGGAGGATGAACCTTTAAACCAATCGAAAGGTCTGCAAATGCTATGCTATAGCTGACATAAAGGGGTTAATAAATCTTACAATAATATTTCGTATTACGATTCCTTTATTCAACATTCCTAAATTAAGCGTATTTGTTTTATTAAATTTTAAAGTAAATTTGTCAGTTAGTTGTACGAGGTTACGATTTTAAAGATATTTTCCTTTATTTGTTTGTTTACAGAAGATTCGGATAATGAGGATGAAGTTCTAATTGGCAGAAAAACATCAAGAGGCAAACACAGAGTAAGAAGTGTAGTGTTTAAATCAAACATACATTTATTTGCTTTTCCCTAGAGAAAGAAAAAAAAGTTTATATTGTGGTGATGAATAAATTTATACCCGTATTTTCTTAAGAATATAGCTTTGAACAATTTATTGCACTTTCAGATGATATTGGAAGATGATGATGATGGAACAGAGGAGCACACAGAAGTCGGCGATTTGATTAATTCTGGAAGTACCAAGGACACCAACTTATGCCAAGTAGATTCAGACACTTTACACACAGATGATGTTGAAGATGACACTTTACAAACAGACAACGTTGAAGATGAAACCACTACTATAATCAAGAAAAAGAAGAAGAAACGTTTTGTTGCTGAGTCTGATGAAAGAGATAATGATCTTGATGTTCCCAGAGTTAATATGGATCTAAAAAATAATGATCTCTTTGATGCCGAGATTAGTGATGATGATAGATCAGGTGATTAAAGTTTTCATAAAATCAGCCCCGATAAAGGCCTACAATTTTAATAAAAGTTTACACAACATGGAACTAGTTGAGCAATAATTTTATGGTTGAGTTTAATTGACTTCAGGTGGTTTTTGTGTGTTTTTTTTTTTTTTTGTACTAATAATATAGTATAATTATTTAAGAAAGATCAGTCATACATGCCATTTAGTAATATTATTTTTATTTTTTTCACAATGAACTTAATTTCATTTGAAAATTTATGTTGTGTAAAAAATGATTTGTTAATTGTAGCAAAATTTTCCAGTCATTCCAGTTAGATCAGAAGTGGATGATGACAATGGTGGGGATGATGCACACAGCAGTGAGAGTGAGGAGAATCATGGAAATGAAGATGATGAAGGTTTTGATGAGAGTCAACTTAATCCTGAGATTCTGGCCAAGTTAAAAAAGTTTAAGGTAATTTATTTAATTGAATTGCTAAAGAATATTTATATCATTTTTTGTGTGTTGTTTAAAGCATATTTAAAAAAACATTTTTTTTATAATTTGTGTTGTAGGGGGCATCAAAGTCATCAAAAGACAGAGCCAAGTATGCTAGAAAGTCTAAGCCATCTGCTGACAAAATGTTGGAGATTTACAGTGATTCTCAGAGAATGTTGAGAGGTTAGTTGATATTTCAAAGTTTTCACTTACCACTAGGTGACTATTATTTATGATAGTTTTTTTTTTAATAATTATAACTTTTGTATTTTTATAACTTTTGTTATTTATTTTACTCTTTAGTTTTATGGATATTGTAGTTCTTGGTTGCAGATTAGGGTTTCACTGATCAATGGGCTTTTAATGGGCCGTTTTGCAGATTAATCATTGATCTGCTTTTTGGCACTGTTGCAGGATTGATTAATCAGTAAGCTGTCCTTCCAATTTGCTAATCGGCAGAACTCTAATGTAAATAATACAAATGAACTCCTGGATACTTATAAACTTTAAATGACCCTAATTTATCTTGATTTTCTACTTCAGAGACTCGAGTGAACATACCATACTATGAACCAGAAACAAGGTCTTTAAATGACTTTCTGGCAAGGGCTTCAAAAAAGAAACAGGAATATGCTGGTCTGCGAAGGGCTAAAGACATTGTGTAAGATATGTAATTCTGCTCTGTTGATGTTTATACTGTTACTTTCTTAGAAACAACAGGAAACCTTACCTGTCATTCAAATAAATTTGAATGTGTCTAACTCAGGATATAGCTACATTTTATTGTATATGTTTTCAGAAAAGCTCAAATAATTCAAGAGAAGTTGGCACTCCATCTCTTACCCAGCCCACCAGCTAAACACAAATCTAAAGCAACAACCTCTGTCCATCCAGATCCCCACCAAACTGTTCATCAATCCTCTCAGGCTAAGCCTGCTGAAGATTCTGGTGTGGCTTCACAAGATCAAGCCACTTCTCTGTCAGACGCTGACCCACCTCTTGCTAGCTCTGACTTACCTCCATCTCAAAATTTGGGTGATGATGACGACGATTATCTACCTGATTTAGTTCCTACTAAATCTGTTATCTCCTCTCAAACTGTCATAGCAAACAATCCATCAGACTCGAGAGAAGCTGATGTTAGTGCTACAACAGATGTTTCTCTAGGCTTGTCCTCTGTGAAGCTTGATACGCCTGCTTTAACAACACATGAAGCATCTGAAGATCAAGTTTTAGCAGATTTTAACCTGGATTCACGCCTGGAAGAGACTTCTAATGACCATCAAGCAAAAACATTAAGCCAAAGAAAGGACATTTTATCAATATGTACAAATAATTGTTATTCGAAAGACTCTGAGTCTGCTTATCATAAAAAGGATTCTCTTAGTAAATCTGTTGAAAGGCTAAGCAATGATCCCAGCTGCAAAATCCAATCGAATTCAGATATAAGCAGCCCCGTGGAGACACAAATTTTGCAAGCTTCGTGTGAACAAACTCAATTTGATAAACTTAATTATGCTGAAAATGCACTTCATGGATCGGCTGATACAGATAGTTTTATTCCAACTTTACAAAAGGACTCATCCAGGGATTTGTTTTTGTCAATGAGCTCCACTGGAAATGATAATGTCTCTCTGCAAGACATTAAGTCACCGTGTGCGGAATTCAGCAGCACTGCTCAGACGGTCATTTTGGACAGTGCCTCTGCCGACATCTGTGAAACAAAGAACACTAAAGATTCACACGCACCTTTCAGGGATTCTCCTCGTGAAAATCAGTCAATCAAAGCATCAAAGAGGAGGAGCCTGTTGGATAAGCTTCAGGGTTTGGAGCTTCCACCATTGCCACATCTCAGTGGTTCTCCTCATGATGTCATATATTTAGAGGAGCCCCAAAATATCTCACCACCAAAGAATCCGGCTCTACTGAAGCTAATGGACAAGTATGCCGAGCACTCCAAGCCAAGGACACCTAGAGCAGCTCATAAGGTTAATCTCAGGTAATCTTGCAAACATTCTGTTAGATCTTTTTTTCTTTCTGGACAATGTAAGGTCTATTCATTGAATATGTTCAACTTATCAGCCAGAACTTCGTATGTTTATACTTTAAAACTAGTTGCTCAATTTAAAGTCTTTCTATGACTGAGCTACTAAAACAAAGGCTCACTCTTTCACATCAGATCTTCCCATCAATATTAGAACAAAATACGTTGCCATGTTTTTAAATTGAAACTAGAAACTGGCTCTTGGCTTTGATGTTTCTTTCAACCTGGTCATTTTGTTTGCTTTATTGTGGTTTACAATAATTTATTTTTACAGTATTATATCAAAGGAGGGAGAAGAAGGTACTAAGAAAGAGTTGAAGCTTAAATCTTTGACATATCAAGTTCAACAGGAAGATGAAATCCTTACAGGCGATACACCAGGTATACATTTTATTTCTGTAACTGTAATTTAAACTATTTTGGGATCTGTTCCAAACATATTATGAGCTCTATACAGAATAATGAATACCATTTTATCTCCACAGTACCTGAATAGATGCGCCACTTTGCAGATTTTTTTCTTAAGTCTTGCTAAAATGGCTGCCATTTGTCAGTAATTTCACATAATTATTAACTTTAATTATTTTTTTTTAATATTGTGAAAAGGCGCACTGTCACCAGCTACCTCAGTTCCAAAGAATTAACTAAGATAATTTGAAATAAAATTATTGCAACATACATAATCGTTTTGTTAAACTGGTGATAGTTTTTGCATAGCTGAAAGTTGAAGCTCAAATAACAGACTACAAGTTAATATCTGTAATGTGACAGCATGACTTAGGTAGTGAAATTTTATAAAAGATTTATTAGTGGCTTTTTTTCCAATTTTTTAATAATTTCCAATGCTAATAATTTCATTTAAACATCTAAAAGGCTCCAAATTGATCAAACTGAAACAACAGTTGGATATTGGGATGAAAATCAAACGAGAAGAAGCTCGCCAACGGAGATTAGAGCTTTATGCTCTTGAGAATGAGGAGGGCTTTGAGGGTGAGAAAGAAGATGAAGAAGAGGAGGAGGAGGAGGAGATGACTGAAAGCTCAGTTTCAAGTGAGGATGAAGAAGAGGAAGAGGTTGCAATGATGTTTCAAAATGACAACTCGGATGATGAGAAAGATGTAAGTTCAGATCCTTGCCCTGTCCACAAAAGAATTACATTTTGAATTAATTTTTCTTTTAGACTTATTAATATTGTATTGCTCCGTACACTAAAACTGAAGAGTGAATTTTGATTTCTTTCAGGTTCCATTATGTTGATGAATTTTTAAGTTATTTCATTGCAGTACAACCCTTTGCTAGATACAGAAGCAAGGGAAGACTCAGACGAAGATGATGGGGGGTCTTGCAGTGATGGAGAAAAGGAAACCAATGTAGATGAAGATTCAAATGATGTTCATCTTCATTTTGATGCCTCAGAAGATGAGGAAGAAGCTAATAAAAATGATGAGGAGAAAGCTGAAGAGGATGATGGTAGATATAATTTTTTTTTAACTAACAATAAAGATTTACTTACATCAAGAATATTAGTTCAGTCAATGATGGCTTCTCTAATATTTTCCTTAGGGCTGAATTGGCTTTCAAATTTTTTAGTACACCTAATCAATATTTCTTAATTTATCATAAACAAATGTCTATATTTGTGTCTATATTTGTTCCTTGCAGAAACAAATGTCAGAATGGCAACATTTTTTTCATTCCTTTCAGATGACATCCTTTTATTCAGTCGCAAAAAAAGAAAATCTAAGGTTGTACAGAGTGATGACGAAGATGATGATGAAAATTCAGCTTTAAAAGATAGTTCAAAAAAAGTTGATGACAAGATGGTGGTGGGGACTGACAGTTTAGTAAGCTCAGACAGAGGTATGGATATTTTAAAAAAAAAAAGAAGGAAAAAAAAAATTATTTTAAAATATAGTGTGGATCTTTTACCCTTTTTTTAATTTGATGATTTTGATGCAACTACACAGTTATTTGAAAAACAGACACAGTATTGTGTGATTTTTCTCCACAAAACCACTCAAAATATTTCATGAAAAAACACAGTCTGTTATTCCATAATCTCATTGAGCGCAGTAGGCAAACATATTTTTGTGATTCAAAGTCTGAAGCCATGCTGTTATGCATTCCTATGTGACCACTGGGGATGCTCAACTCTAATTTTATTTCAGAAAATTAGAGTTGAAATCATAATTTAAGTTATTTCTATAAAGATTTTATGTACACAAGCTGTTTCTTTCTATGACAAAATGATTTGAGTGAGTCTTTATCTTTTAAAAAAAAAAATTTCTTATAGTCTAATCAGTGCAAACATTCATTCTATATATTTTATATTTTAATTCACTATTTAGATCCTTTAATGAGCTTGTGGTCCAATGAAGCCACACAAAGGGAGGCATCACACTCAAGTCATCAGGTACTTCTTTCTTTTGTTTTAACCATGTCTCCTATCTTTAAAGACTACTGATTTTGTTTTAATTCTGATTCTGCTTATGTATTATTTAATATTTATCTTCTGTTTATCTCTTCATTGACAAGGACAAGCAGAAGTTCAGAAGAGAAAACTCTCAATCCCCAGACTTGTATGCTTCAGACGTCAGTCAGTTCACCTCTGCACAGCATGAACACAATGACTCTTCACAGTCTATCACCAATTCACCCATGTTGGATAAGGATGGGTAATAAATAATTCTCTCTGCACTTTAAGGATTTTTCTATAAAAATCTTGTTTAAACATTAAGAAATTTTAATACTGGAAAGATTGTTCAATTTCTGATGTCCAAATCATTAGCTGACTTTTTAAAATTTCCCATGAAATATAAGGACAAGGTATGGTACACTTGAATTCATTGACAGGACAAAACATTGACGTTTCGGCTATGAGCCTTCATCAGAAAACAAGACCAAAAAATCTGATACTTTTATTGTTTTGTCTTTTTTGTGATGAAGGCTCTTAGCCGAGACGTCAATCTTTTGTCCTGTCGATGAATTCAAGTTTACCATACCTTATATTTCATTTCACAACTTGAATGCAGTCCATCGATTAAAATTTCCTACAAGTTTATGGTTCTCCAAAACCAAGTTATTGACCATAATAACCAGGTTAAAACTAACATGTTGCAATATTAAACAATTGTAAAATCTTTATAGTTTTGTAAATGATTAAATAGGAAGAAGCCATCTTGTTCGGAAACAGCCGGAGGTCTCTGTACTCAGCTCTCACCTGTGGTTCCAAGAAGCTGTAACATGCACAGCGACTACAACCCAGACAACGATTCCAGGTTGAGGGTAGCCGAAGGGCATAGAACTTTCGGAAAAAAAGGGGTTGTCCCCCATAGCATGTAAAGACTGAATCCGGCAAATTGTGCTGAAGAACCACTACTTGGTCAACGGACAAAAGGCGGAGACAGCACAGTGGTGTGAATCGCTGAGAACATGACCAGACACGTAGAACGCCATGGTCATTCACTGCATGGGTGACTGGGTGGCCGAATGGTCTAAACTGAGCAAACCTCAATTTCAGCCAAAGGCCGGTCAAGCAAAAACATCACCCCGGGTGGATGAGACTCGTTAACCTTGGTCGGCAACTCATCTAAGAGAAATACAATGTCCATTCCTGCAACCGTACCCATCCCTGGTCGTCTTGACGTAGAGTCTTGCCACTGGATATGGTGGGCTCGGACGAGAGAGTGAGGTTGACGCTGCGCAACTCTTCCTCACTTTAAACAAAAGTCACCAGACTCGATGGTCATCGTCGATCCTCGACTGACGAACAACAAAAAATGATTAAGTTTAAATGCATCCACGGCTGTAAAGAATTAGGGTTAGGCAAAACTGCATGATTGAACTGTGTGATTAAATTATTTTTCTGACCTCTCTTTCCAAGGTTTTTGTCCCACAAAAAACAACCAATCTTCATCTTTTTATTAGAGACTCCATGTGCATTGTTGCCACTGGACACTGTTCAGCCTTCTTAAGATCCTCTCTCAACACTTACGCATGTTATTTGTCAAATTTCATACAAACCAAGCAAGAGTCTGGATAATAATTTTAACATAGTCCTTTTAATATTTCTAATGATGTGCTTCAAATGTAAGCAAAATTATTACAAAAAATTATAAAATCTGTGTATATTTAATATAACGATTCTACATTCCGAAGGTTTATCAAAATGACCCAACGACCAGAGTACAAAATATCAAGCTTAGCCAGAGAAACATCTTTTAAACTACCTTCAATGGAATCGTCAGGTAGGTTAATTTGAGAGCCTCATAGTGTTCATGCAGCATTTAGTACCTACCTGCTATCGAGTCACACCACATAATGAATGCACATTGGAAAGCTAAATTTTTTTATTTATTTTTTTTAAAGTTATTTTGAAGGGTATTATTTCTCTTTGTAAAAAAAAATTGCCAAAACTCATGTAAAACATTGTTTCTTCATATTTCAGAATCAACACAACTGACAGCAGGAAACATATTTAGAGGAATGAATAGTCAAAACGGTAAGAATCTCTAACACAATTGAATCCTGAAATATAATAGCTGCTAAAATCTGTCAAATTACTGTGCATCAGTTACTTAAATGATTTTTATTATGTGACAGATTTCAAAACTACTTTCAGCTGCCTGTATAAAAATATTTTGAGATGAATTCAACAACGTTTAAGATAAGATTCTTTTGTTGATCCAAATAAATGTAAATGCTTTTTCATTATATTCTACGTATTCATTTTCAGCATATAAATAAATACATATTTTTAACCATGACAACATTTTACAGTTATAAAATTTAAATTTGAGACATCTAAAGTATTTCTCTAGCATAGCAAATCAGCCATAAATGAACTCCTTTAGTGACAATAATGACTTAATTACTGATCATTTAGATTTGGTAATCACTGGGGGAGCACGCTGATAAATTCATGCAGACTGGGGAACAAAATAATTTCTTTTGGTCGTAAGTTCAAGAGAAAGAATTCACCCTGATCTAGCTGATCTCAGGTATATGTGATGAAGTGGGTGGGATGTATTATCAAAACATTTGTTAGTTTTTCAACAGCATTTTTCTTTAAATAGTTCAAGTGAAGGATGTTTAGTTTGTATGATATTACTTGGGTTTTTGATTAGTCCATTTAATTGGTGTTTTTTGTTGCACGATCAACTCCCACACCACCAGGTAATACTGAAGTTTAGCAGGCTTCCAATTGTTTGTTTACACCAAAATTGTACAGCTTTTTTAATCCTTCATGTTAACTACGCTTTTGTTTGTGTTTTTGGCAACATCTTCAGACTGCTAATTAACCACTTCCTGTCATCATATCATACACTCGTTGCAGTTGTCTACACACACTATCACATTTTCAGCCCAACCCCAAAAGTAATGTTTTTCCTGTTTTTTAATTTTAAGGGAAAGATGAATGAAATATGATTTGTTGAATGTTTGCATGTTTTGGTGTGGAGATTAATTGTATAGCTGTTGCTATGTGATTTGTGTTTAAACATATCTTAAGACTATTAGGTTTTACGTGCACTAAGTTTGATAAAAACAATTCGCATACCAAAGATCAGTTGCTACAATTCCATAAATGAAAAATCATGTACAATGGCATAAATGCAAATAAAAATGCATATAATAATAATTAGACGTCTTATATAGTGCGGTACCCCAGCCTAGGGCTGGCCTCACCGCGCTGTACATAAAAATTTTATCAAAAGAGACATAATCATGACATTAAAATAAAATACATTTATGAAATAAAGAACAGAATGTATATTCACCCACCCCACCACATAACTTTTACAAGGCAAACCATGGACGGCAGCCAGCAAGATCATTAATCGGTCAGAGGAGGCGAATCAGTCAGGGTAGTATAATTTAAAAAGATATGTTTTGAGTGCAGTTTTGAAGGCCTGGGTGGTTGGTATATTGCGTATGTTTAGTGGCAAAGAATTCCATTGTTTTAGTGTGTGTCTTGGGAACGGATTCCTACCGTAAAAAGGTTGTTTAATTTAAGATCAAGTCTTTGGTTGACATTTTTATAGAGAAATTGCAGTGTTCATGCCATGTCAGCTTATTATTAATGGTGTCACCTTTGTGCTTATATGTCTCTACTTGTTCTATATGGTGACACCTCTTTGCTTATATGTCTCAACTTGCTCTATCTATACTTTGATTATTTATTGTGAGATCTGAAATTGGGTGATGCCCCCTCCAGTAATGGATAAACATTTCTTTTGTATTTAAACAATAATTTATTATTTTCTAACACTGGTTTTTAACCTGTGATTTGCTGCACTCAGTGGCGGATCAGCAACATTCAGGTTTCATGAAACTTGAACTAAAGCAAAGCAAAAACATTATTTATTATTTTTATTAGCCATAATTCTCTACATTACCTCATGACCTGAGCTTGCCTTAAACAAAAGTACTTGGGATGGAGAAAACAATGGTCCCAGTCTTAAATATGCAATGTGTAGAAATGTATTCTTAAAGCTGTGTAGTTGAGCATGTGCTGTTTGGAGACTTCTTTTCTGCACTCATTTTGTTTTAATTATGTATGTCCTGATTATTAAAAAAATAGGAAGGGTTGCCATAAATATAAATTATTTTGTTTATGATTTTCCCCTTCTACGAAAAAGGTTTAAAAACACTTCCCTGGCAGGTCCTCAGACATTTACATGTAGATCACCACTGTTGTAAATTCATGGTTTTATTTACCTCCCTTTTAGCCATAGAATCCAGCCTTCCATTTACAGCAGGTGACATTTTTAAAAACCTAACAACCCAAGCCAGTGGTGGTGTCAGAGCTACTTCAGTGGAAGAAACAAATGAGGATGAGAATAGCATGGATCAATCAATGGAGCGTTCATTTAGATCCATTAGGTAAAATTGTTACGTCATTTAAATTAAATTTTTTTAAAAATGTATTGTTCGCTTTAAAAAAAAATTGTGATGATGTGGAATGATTGGTGTCTCCATGTAATATTCCTTTCTTTAATTTGATTTACCTCACTTAGTTTTCAGCTACAGTATTATTTCACAATATACAACTTAATAGTTGTAAAACAAGTACCGATCAATAAAGGGTAAACAATTTTTATTTTTTGTGTATCAGTAAAGAGACTACAAGTCAAAGTAGTTTGACTTCCCAAACTGACATGAAATCATCCAAGAAGTTCCAGAATTTATTTGATGATGACGATGGCGATATCTATGACCCGTTTTCTGTGCTTTCAAAAAATGATGATGAAACTAAACCACCAAAACATAAGAGATTAAAGGTAACCTGAAGTGCATTATCAAATTTGTTTAAAATAATCATATAAGCATTTGGTGAGTTCTTTATTGGTGTATTAATAGAAATTACATTTTTTTTCCTATTTTTAAATGTTTATGGCATTTGTACATTTGCTTTGATTTAGCTTGCTTCTCACAAATACATCAAAACACTTTTTCGTCAATTACAATGCAGAGTACTTCCATATTTGTCAATAACTTTCATAATTTTATATTGTATGCTAGTATATAATGGTATCTTACGGTATTGGTTTGTGTTTGAACTTCTGAAAATTATAGTTGTATTTTACAAAAAAGTTTTGCTTGAAATCAACAGCCAGTCTTTTCAGGAAGTGAGGAAGATGAAAATGCCACTAATGATTCCAATGGGTCTCGCTTAGTTTTAACTGGCAGTGAAAATGAGGAGTCTGAAGAGGAAGCAGATCGAGAGGCAGACACAGATTTAGAAGAGGCATCCAGTGATTCTGAAGTAAAACCCAAATTTACTGGGTTTAAACAGAAGAAGAAAGGGTAGGCTTGCATTGATGAGCTATTTACCTGGTTATTTATGATAAATTATATATATATATATATAATGTACTTTGAAAAGGCTATTGATAATGAATTGTGGGAAATTTAAGCATTAAACATGTCAGAGAAACTACAAAAACTGATCAGTTTGGAAAGGAGTGCAAATGATAGCTGCCTGGAGACCTGCATATATCTTTTATCGCAAAAATTTGAAGAAAGAAATTATCTTAAAAACTCAAGATTCCATTATCACTGTTCAGATTTACTTGTAACACGGTTATACCTTTCTGATATCCTTGGCCGATTAATCTGTCAAGAAAAGAAAGCAAACATAATCCACAAAAAGGTTGATCTGGTCGATTACAGATTAACCATTGCAACCCTATTGGAAGTACAATACATTATTTACTTTATACTTTATTTATCTGACATTAGTTGCATAGTTGAGAGTTTTATACTATCCAAATAGATAAGAATAGATATTTACTTTAATTAAACGACCTTAGTAATTTCTAAAAAAATAGCGAGCTTGAATAATAATTATATTTCAATCTACGTATTCATTTTCAGAATAAGGGGAGAGTTTTTGGAAGAGGAGGCTGAACTGTCAGGTAATTTTTCAAAGGGGAAAATACATCTTATTTTCAACATGATTGTTACTTTATTTACTAAGTTTGTGATTGTCTTATTATCATTTATTCCATAAGTGAAATAACCAATATATTGTAACCACGTAGATCATTTACATTGCAAACAATGTGATAATGTCTTGTAACCCTCTTTTTCAGGAAGTGAATTTGATAGCGATGAAAACCTTGACCTTGATGAGGAGGATGACATTTTAGAAGAAGAAGAAGGAGATAAAGAGATGGCAGGAGTTTCTGAGGAAATGCTTAGGGAGGAAGTGGGCAGGGTTCATATGTAAGTGTTTTATTTTTTTATTCTTTTTTATTTTTTTGGGGGCCGGGTAAAAAAAAAAAATAAAGGTGCCACAATTGCATGTCAGCATTTACGGAATGTATTTAGTTAGGCTATGCCAGTGGTTTTTTAATTTTTTGGTGCCCATGCTAAAATAAATTTAAACTGGTTTAGAGAACACCTCTATAACATAAATAAACAAGCTCTCTGTCCGGTCTCCAAACATTTCAATAGCACTAACTATGATGGAATTTTAGACATCGCCGTTACTGGTATACTGTATACTAGTAACACACCGTATAGGATCTATATGGAGAATAAATTGATAACAAGATTTGGTACGTTGACTCCATACAGGATAAACCAAATCCACAATTTTACGTAGCTGCCATGTCTTTTTCCTGTTTGGTTTTTTACATTTCACTTCAAATCACTTCCTTTCCATTCTTCTTTACTTTATTTCTGTCTGGTTTTTGCGCCCACTCTTATTTTTTTCTATTTTCTTCTCTTTTTTTGGTAGGATAAATATATGTATTATGTAAATTTAATTTATTCTTATATAAATGTTTTGTTGTTATACAGATGAAGGCATGTGTCGAAACGTTTATTTGTGTATTATGTAAAATTATTATTAAAGCTTAACATATATTGGTAATTATATTGACGCAAATTGTTTGTGTCTCATTAATCAATATTTGATGCATGCTCACTCCTTAGGAAGCGCCTTCAAGATGATGATGACAAACAGGTGATGTTTTTCAAGGAAATGTACCTACAAGATGGTGATCTATACTCTGAAGGTGGAGGTCGCATGAGGAATTTTAGATGGAAAGATAATGCTGGTAAGCATTGGAAGGATGTGTTCTGGGGTTTGAACAACTCACAGTAGTTCTGTTCATATTTAAACTAAGTTATGAGTTTATTTAAACCAAGAAGAATGGTGTGATTGTAATTTCATTTATGAGATGTTTGTTAAAACATTTTTAACAAATAATAATTCTTTTGATGATGATATTCCGTTCTGTTAACAATCTGTGGATATATAGATTGGGGCAGAATGTTGATAAATTTATGCTAAAAAAATTCCCTTTTGATAACATCAATTTGAAATTTAATAATTAGATGCTGCCATTGAATTTTTAAAAATAAAGTAGAACTCTGATTTCCCAAACTAATTGGGACTGGATTGTTTCAGATAACCAAACACTCCCACAGTCAGGTTGCATTCATTAAGGAAGTTAGTGTATAGTATGCAATTTATTCTTACCGTATGGTTATCACATATGGTGATTTATTGACAGAATATTAACCATAGCACTTATTGATGTAAAAACTGGTTAAGACTTAAATATATTTTTTTGTAAAAAAGGTTGTAGTTGTATCCAAAAATAGATGACCGCCCCTAGATAAAAATCAGGTCACTTGATATTAACAGGCATGCATTATGTGATATACCATATTGTTCAGTGTGTAGGCAACACTCTTCCCCCCTCCTCATGAAAGTCTTTAAATTAGAGGTGCCGCCTAAAATTGGGATGTTGCAAAAAAAAGTTTTTAGTCATTTAAAAAACAACATTAAAAAAAACAGCACCAATTTTTAAGAATTACAATATTCCAAACAAAATGTTATATTAATTTACCCGGATTGTGGACGGGTCGATGTCATTCAAATTGTGTGCCATAATGGTACAAGATATAGGTAGTTCTGATAACAAATGTTCAAATTAATCGGCATTTGGAAAATGCATGGTCTGCTATTTTTTATTACCATTTTGTCTTCCTGTTTTTTCCACAATTGAAAGTAGTGTCAAAATATATTCTTTTTTTTTTAATGTTCTTGCAGATCCCAATTCACAAAAAGACATGTTTACCCAAGAGTATGATGATGAACAAGCTGAAGATGATGCCGAGGATTTGCGGTGGAGGAAAGATCGCTATGAAAGAGAGAAATTTCTTGAGGAAGCTGTAAGTATTGTGAATGTGTCAACTGGTGGATGGCAATAATTTTGTAATTATTTATTATTTTAAAAGTGGGGGGTATAAAGCTTTCAATGATTTTTTTTTGTAACAATGAACTCATCTTTTGAGTTAACCACTTCGCTACCGATGACGTCGACGCAACGTCACGGTCACCCACTTTCAATTACCAAGGACTTCACATTGTCGTCATAACAAAAAGTTAAAGAGCTATTCTTAAATACCAAGGACGTCACATTTCAATGCTATATATTTTCCTTAATCGTTAATCTATATAGAAGTAAAAAAGCAAATCGGATAGAGAATGAAATATACCGAACATTTCGTCTTTTTAAAAAAAATATATATTGCTGGGTCAGCAAAAATCTATGCCCAAAACCCAGCTGTAACGAAGGGGTTAATTTGTAATGAAATTTATTGCAGATATAATAATCTATCAGGGTTTCCATCAGGCGTTAATTCCATCTGATGATAAAAATACAAAATGGTTAGTTACCGGTACAAAAAACTTGTTACATTTTTCACTGGAAATAGAAATTATTTAATTTTTTTAAATCAAAACTTTCTAACATTTCAGAGAATTTTATAACTAAAAATGAGTTTTATTTATTTAATTTATTTTATAGGATTGATTTAGCAGTAATTCTTCAGATGTAGGATCAGATTAGGTTTGATAATTTTAGAACTAATAGTGGTTGGCATACAGCCATTTTGAACACTTGAATTTTAAGTAATCCATGAATTTTGATTTTAAAAAGACTACATTTATCTTGACAGGAATCAGAGCAAAGTGAAGAAAATAGCCAGCTTCTCAAACTGGGCTCTGTTTATTTGAAGAAAAGAGGTAGGTCAGTTAATGTGACTGAAAAAAAATAATTTTCTTCTAGCTATATGAATGATCAACGTTTTTCACCATATTATATATATTTTAAGTACAACTTTTCTTTCCCTTAATTTAATAGACTGGCTGAATTTTTTTTTCTTTAAAGAATTTTAGAAGCCCCTTAATAAGTTTTTTCCTGATTACTTTGGGTCTAGAGTCAAGCACTACTTCAAGAGAATCATTGCCCACTGCAAAAGATAAAATGTTGCCACCAGAGTCTCCTAAATTTAAGGTAACAGTTCTTTGTTGTTGTTTTTTTCAACTAGGTGATCAAGAAATTAATCAAAATTATTTCTTTACTTGCAATTTTAATGTTTATTTCGTTCTATAAATCTTTTAATTTTTTTATACATGTTAAGTATAAGGTTTGTAACTATTGTTTTAAAAATATAACTAGATAATTTCATCTGTTGCACTTTTCACTTTCTCAAATTTTGAAAAATCTCTAATAAAAAATTTCAGTTACCCAAAAAAGGTTCTTTCCTGTCTCGAAAAGATGACACTTTGATTAAAATTGCCCAAGTTACAAAATCAGCAGGAGGCACAGGGAGGAACTCAAGAAACTTTATATTCCAATCTGTAGACCAGCAGGAGTTACATGGTGAAGATGTCAATGATAATGTAAGTTTCAATATTCTGAACTTGGTTTTAAATTTCCATTAACACAACTGTTACTAGAAACTCTTGTAAGATTAAGTTTTGGTACAAACAATACTTGATATTATATTTACAGAATTAACATTTAAATTTTAAACTTTCTTTTGATGAAATTTGCAGACTCATTCTACAGTACCCCCAAAGCGCAAGGCTCATAGTGCCACTCAAATTGAGCAAGCAGCAAAGAAACCTAAACTGTCTGAAACCACATCAAATCGCCCTCTTGTTAAGCGAAGGGATAGCATCTTCAATTTACTTGATTAGTTTTACTTACAAAACATTTCTTTCAATGTCCTCAAAAAACATTTATAAAATGTGTTTATGTACATTCAGTATAATTATGATCAGTTATTGTCCACAAATTAGAAGGAAAAAAATTGCTTTAATCTGTGATGTATAGTTATTACATTAAAAAAAATCATGTTTTGTTGTGTTTTTGAATATTAATAAAACATAAGAGTAATAAGACTGTAAAATATATACATAATTTATTTAGAAATGTAACTTTTCATTACTTTACAAATTGATATACTGGTGTGTGTGTTGGTGAAAAATAAATAGATTTCATGTTTAATTGTTGAATTTCATCATGAAGTCAAAGTCTTTGTAGCTAATTCTACCATCACCATCACGATCAATTTCTCTGAAAGAGTAAAAATAAAATAAAAACACTGATGACTTTGCCTTGAAAAAAATACCCATCCCAAAGTCAAATTTTAACCAATAGTTAACATAAAATCAGTTATTGGAAATTCTCTTCATTTCAAAACCACTTAGCTTTCATTGATTTTCATGGTTAAAATTTAAACTATGTACTGTACTAGTACTACATAAGCTAGCAACTTGTATTTCTTTTTAAACCCTGCTATAAATTAGTTCTGGTGTATAAAGTGCATACACATCTAAATGGGAACGATTAAACAAACTTAATATTACAAATGCCGAATAACATCAAATACAAACTCCGTATCAATAGTTTTTCTATAATTTATGCCACAATCACTCACTTGAATGCGAGTTCTACTCTGTGCTCTGCAAAATGAGGACAAATTTGTTGGAAAGCACTTTTGACATCATCCATTCTCAAAAATCCTCGACCTGAAATTTGTAGATGCCAAAATATATTTCTAGTAATGAAACAAATCCCCTCATAATCTGTCAAAATTCTTCAAAGCATTTTGATACGCTTGTCTAAATTCACATAATTAATTCAAATAACTCAAATTTTCTGAAAGTATATTGTATAAGGAATCAAATGGTATGAACAAGATTAGTTTTATATCACTTTATGTGCCCTTTTATACTGAGTAAAATTGTTCTACTCAACTAGCATTCAACCAACCCAAATTGTTTTTTTTTTTTATATCTATAACTGCATCAGGTTTTTTAGATACTAGAAGAACTATCCTTTCATAAATTTTATAGGTACTTATTTCAAAAAATGTAATTTTGGTGATTTTCTTTCATTCACTACCGGGTTACTATAAAATTTCTGTCATACAAAATACAATACAAGGGGCAAAACAAAAAAATTCCTTTTAAATCTCTTTAGGGTAGGTGTTTGGGATCTAATCTTTTTCTGTTCAATTTCCACCCTTTCTCAAACGCATTTGTAACAATAGACTAAGCTTATGACTGAAATAATCAATATCTGACTTATGTCGCAATCACCGCTAGAGGTAATACTGTCATTACTATCGCTTGGAATAGTTCTGAAATAATTGCTTTCATTTTAATCCATTTGAAATAATTGCAATAAAGAAAGTCTCTATTGATTTGCAATATGGAGGGGGACCCTCTCCAGACAATGCCAGTAAGACAAAATTAACGAATTTCACTCCCTAAACGGAAACGCAAATAGGAAGCAAAATCTTTTCTATAGCGAGATTTGCCCTACTACAATGTATATTACATTACATTTAATAAATAACGTTTTTAGTGATGACTTTGCTAGAGACAGATTACATTGGCTATGACACAACAGAAAGGGCCATTACAGTCTTATGGTTGAGCACAAATTCCTTACTTTAAGGATGTTATTTTTTTTTGTTCTTCTTCATTTGTCCTAATAACTTAAATAACACTAAAATAATAACTTACAATTTCTATCAAAGGCTTTGAAAGTGTGCCTTATTTCCTCATCTTCATCTGCTGCTGCAAACTTGGGTAGCATAGCTTCCATAAACTGAGGCAAGGTTAAACCTGATTAAAAACTTTAAATGTAAAACAAAAGTTACAGCAACTCATATCGTTTTATTAACTTTAACACTTGATCAATGGCAGAACTGCTTTCTGGACATAAATTAGTTCTTTTTAGTCCTTCATCGATTTGGCTTTAAAAAAGATATGTACCGTAGAAGTAATCATGGGTTTTTTTACAATTTAAGAAAAAACAAAAAAAAACTATCTCCCCTTTAAACATTTTTATATTATTTTGATTCTTGAAATTAAAATAAAGCTACCCACTACATGTTTTAATAGCCATATTAATTTTATTACATTTTAATTAGTTAATGAATGTTAAAAAACTAGAGCTATTTATCAGGCACAATTAACACAAAAAAGGTAGTTAATGGTGCTTTAAAAGTTCTTACTTATTTATAAGGAATCAACCTACCTTTTGTCCAAGGCTTATGATCTGTGCCATATGTTTCCAGAATTTGCAATGCTTCACTCTGTATTGACATAAATGAATTATTCATTTCAACAGAAATTTTCAGAACAGGAATATCAGCTTCAGTAAAAATCAGAGGAATATGTGAAAATTGCTAATCATTTGAATTAGGTAATTTTAAAAAAAACGTATTTATGATATTTTGACATTGGATATATATAAAAAAATTTTTTATCAATGTTGAGTCTTCTCTCCCCCCCCCCCCCATAATTATTCCTTGTAACTTGGGACCTGAGATTTTCTATTTAAATTCTTATTTTTATTTAATTATGTAATTTTAAAAAAAACGTTTTTTTGATATTTTGACATTGGATATATATAAAAAAATTTTTTATCAATGTTGAGTCTTCTCTCCCCCCCCCCCCCATAATTATTCCTTGTAACTTGGGACCTGAGATTTTTCTATTTAAATTCTTAGTTTTTCCTTTGAACTTAGTAAAATCTGTGTGAAAGGCATGAATTAATTTTTTATTTTAAATCCTCTATCCAACTACTCACACTAACAATTTCATAGGAATACAGAATGGGTTTTTCGGTGGTAATTTTTTTTCTCATAGCGCTACTTCTGTAATTATTATTAGAGCTCCATCTCTGCTTTGGTTATTTATATTTTCAAAAGAATTTTGTTCATTGAAAAATTTGACAATCACGATTGATATTGAATCAAAATAATATAATTCATGTAAGTAAAAAATCTGCTCCTTTCCAAAATCCGTAAAATTTGTACAGAAACCTTACTCTACATTGGAAAATGTTTATTTATCTTAATATATCTATTAGCTTTTGTATTATTTGCCATTTTTTCTCCAGATGTAACTGCTTTAATCATATGCTTTAGCAATGATAGACTTATGGTTTTAGTATGAGTAATAGTTTTTTAAAATATAATTAAAAAAGTACAAACCTTACATAACTTGTGCCCAAATAAGATCATAACAGCAAATTTTAAATCATTCTGTAACAAAAATCCTTTTTTGTCTTCATCTGCACTGTGAAAGGCCTTTTAAAAAATCATAAATACAAATATATATATTTAAAAAAAATCATTCTTCAAATAATTAATATTTATAAAAATGTAAAAGAAAAATTTTTTAAGTCTATTTATAGTTGAAATGTTCTGAAAATATCTTCTTTTAGCCCTTTTCCTGACATAACCTAGTGATTTATGCAATGTCACATCATATTAATAAGTGTGATAATCAACAGAAAAAGCATTCTTAATATTTCATCAATAAGGTTTATTCTGTATGTGCGGATTTTTGGGTTTAACTGTTTTAAAAAACTGAATTCAGAACTGATGGGGCATAGAAATTTGTATAATTGGTGATTGACAAGCACTGACACAAGATGAGGCAAAATTTGGTGGCATTTTCTGTTTTAGTTAACTTCATCATATACTTTATAATATATGGCTAACATCTTATGTGTATCTGTATGTTTTGTGATTTTTTTTTTTCAAAGCCAGCCATGAGCATCACGAATTTTAACTACTCCACTGTTGTTGACTGGTATAGTTTCTGTGTCATTTACTACATAATTCCCATCTTATGTCAGGAACTAAGAGAGAGATAGAGTCTTTGGTGTGAAACCTGGTTGAATTTCCAAAATATGCAATTATGTCCCCTTTATTTAAAAGTTTTTTTTGTTGTTTTTTTTCAAAACACTAATATACTAATACATTTAACTGATATCAAGAAATACAATCTTTTGCCTTTTAAGAATATGCAGCTGGGTCCTTTTCTAGATTCTTCACACATTTTCCCCTATATTAAGGAAGGATTTATTTTTTTAACAGTCATCATTTTCAACTGGTAATAAATACCTAGAGTTGCATTTTAGTTTATAGATTATAAATAATTTAAATATCTTATGGTACTTGACAACAGAGTAATTAAAAATAAAATATTCAAGTTATGAAAACAGCTGTAATTTTTTTAACTTGGTAATTGTAATAGTTTATTAAATATTGGGCTATCTTTTTCTATACAATGCAGGTATACAAATATTTTGTTAAAAATAAGTAATAACTAAGGTTAGGCTAGGCTAGTAAAAATGAGCTAAATGACAATTCAACAGGTGTATATTTTATAGGTAGGCTGAAAATTAGGGTAGGCATAAATTATAAGATTCTTTAAAGTTAAAGTAATTTTCTGTCTGAGATTAATACATTTTTATAGTAGTTAATTTAGCCCACAGCTGATTTCAGTTTCAAAGTAAAAGGAAAATAGTTGTGTGATTGTGATTTTTCGGCTTTTAAGTCACCGAGCACACCAAAGTATGGTTGTTCATTCATTACAATCTATTTATGATTGTCAGCTTTATCATTTTTAAAAAAACTCCAACAAACTCAGTCAAAGTAATCGAAATCGAATTGTTCAGTGTGTTGCTAAGGTAGAGATTTGGTAGACTATTACTATTACTATTTACTATACTAATACTATTAACTATTATAATTAATAATTAAGTAGTACGGTACTACTTAGACTTAAAACAAGAAATGTTTAAAATTCATAAAAATTAATAATAAAAAATAAATCGAATTTTCATATCGTCTTTAGCTAATATGTGTCATTGTTTCATCAATGATGTTTAAAAGAAATAAATTATCGAGCAGGCTTATTATATGCGGACATTAAGACGGTAGCGACGGTAGTTAGAATTGACCGACGAGTTGGGTAAATAATTTGTTTTGCTACCTTTTCAATTAGGTGCACTTCACTTGTTGTTAAATTGCGTGTAGCACAGGGGAAACGGTTAGAAATTGGCATCTTCGAAATACTATTTGGATACTTTTTTTTGCATTGAGTTAGGTGGGTTCAATATTTTTTAGTTTCTCTATACGGTATACGCCATTTTGAGATTCCGTGGAGAAAAGCCGCACCATTGGGCTAGAGATGGCATGTGACTCTAACGGGCACTTCTTATTCGTTAGTGTGATTAGTAGCAAATCCAAGATGGCTTCACACTAACCCTTTCTCTATGATATCAATCTGATTTTACTGTATTGTGAATAATCTTCTGGCCAAAATGTCGACACGATCGGCCAGAACAACTCGTTTGAAAACAAGAAATCTCAGGAAAAAGGTTCAATCAAAGTCAACGGGTTCAAAGTATAGGAACACAGGTGCGTATATCTGTAATAACTCAAATATTAAATGACTAAAAAACAAAACCTTTCTCTGAAACTGAATGGCGAGCCTTTATTATTAAGTTTATTTAGTCTTACTATTCTTCCCTGTCTTTTAAGTACAAGCTTAGAATGTTTGTTAGTGATATATAATCCATTGGTACTAACTCAATGGATGTAATATAATCATAAATCAACTTTTTGAAGGAGTGAATGTACTAAGTCTAGAACTAGAAGAGCCATTGTGAGTGTAACACTATTATTATTATATTATTATTATTCTATACTATACTCTATACTACTCTTATAGACACTTACAGTATAGATTAGCACTAGAAACCTAATAGTAATACTATAATAGTAAAGTTACCAGGAAAACTTTTTATTTGGCTACGGCTATTGGTAGTTGACTGGTAGCTAAATTTAATGAAACAAATGAATACATTATAATTATAATACATGTATATTGTATGAAATTATTGCTAATGTTAAGGATGGCTGCCACTGGGTCTTTTGGGTGTTTAAATAAATTAGGGTTTAGCTTAGGTTGAGGGATCGATTTAGGGTTCAGGTTAGGCATAGGTAGATACTTCGATAAAACAAGGGAGACTACTACTTTTTTTGTATCGGAAATGGGCGTCGGCGCCGAAAAATCTGAGTTTTTAATTTTCCGATGTGTGTGTCTATTTATTATTAAATCAGTTCTTTGGACATATATTTGAGTTCCGTTTCCGGCCTTATAATTTGGAAGACATCTTGGCCTACATTTCCATCCAACTATTTTGCTTTTTCAATCGACCTTTATTTTGGAAATCTTTGGTATATATAAGGCATCTTCGCATGCAAAATTTTTTGTGAAATATAAAATACAGGTCTTTCATATTAAATCGTGTAAGGCATCAGATATTGATATATATCTGTGCCAATTCTCATTGATGTAGGTCGTGTCCCACGTTCGCTACGCTTCTCCCAGTGACCCATATCACCATAAGGGGGCTCCGCCTTATTTCGACATGGTGTGGGCCACGCCCCCTTTTTAATGGCGGAAGTTGCCGATACTTAAGAAATATTTAATTATTACCACTATATACATCAAAATATTTGATAACTTGTGTTTCAGAATGCATTTTGAAGACATTTAAACTAAAGTTGCCGATACTTAAGAAATATTTAATTATTACCACTATATACATCAAAATATTTGATAACTTGTGTTTCAGAATGCATTTTGAAGACATTTAAACTGGAATGTTTTAATTTGAGCTTTAAAAACTCTGTAGAGTCCATATTATAAATGATCAGAAATTTCCGTGTGCAACACGTTGTCATTGGCAACCATTCACAGCCACTTGCATAACGGCTATATCGTAGTACTATCTCAGAGTTTCATTTATAAGTGTTTGCCGTGTGCAAAAACTATTAAACCATTGGTCAGGGAAAGCTTTAATTAATTATTCATGTGCCAAAGTTGAAAGTTTAAAATAAATCGACCCTAAACAGTATTTTAGTGATAAGGGAATGCCTTAGCCTTATATAAACTATATAGTCATTGCGCATGACGCGATCGGCGGAATGAGGTCACAGAATGTGGAGATGCAGTCCATGTTAAAAAAGGACAAACCAAGTCGTACTTTAAAAATTCATAACTTTAAAACTACAACAGCTAAAAATATGATTTTGGTGTTATAATTCTGTTTAAAATTAGCTCTATTCAACTGTGCCATTGGTTTATTTTTTAAAAAATGTTTACTTTTTTGACCAAAGTATCTAGGCATAGGGATCTATTTAGGGTTCAGGTTAGGCATAGGGATCGATCTAGGGATACATTCGTGAAATTCGATAAAATAGTGGCAGTCGTCCTTAACATTTACCTATGAAATTAATATTATACTTAAACTGTATAATAATATATCTATAAATCTATTTTAAAAAATGCGCTTTTTAACAATAAATAAATTGTAAAAATCAATAAATAAAGATAGTTAGATAGGCTTACCTTTTTAGAACTCTTTTTTATAAAGACAGCATTTTGAAGCTCTTCTAAGGCTTTGATGGCTATTTCCAAATCTTTGAATGTATCAAAATGGCAATTTGCAGCTAAAACACTTTCAGGATTCATTTCTAGGCAGGTGTTGTCACTAGTACGAACTAGTAAAAAATGAACGAGCCATTGCTTCACCCTCGTCATAGAAAGCGGGTTTTTAAAGTTCCGGTTTTGGTTTGATTTGATTGGCTGGACTACCAATAGCTCTCTAGTAGCTATTGGTAGTTCACTACCAATAGTTTCTAAGCAGCTATTGGTAGTGAACTACCAATAGACACTTCCTTTTATTTCACTATCCTATTTCTTCTTCTTGCATGAGACATTTTGTAATTTAGATTTAGAGGAATGCAAATGGCAAATGTTTTAAAATTCGCATCAAATCATCATATTATATAAATATAACATTGGGCTCTTAGGGACTTTTAAAATATATTAAAAGCTAAGAATGACGTTGTTTTAGTTATAGTTGTCCAATTAAGTTGTTCATATTATTATACCACTAAAGACTGAAATTGATTAAACTAAAAATGTGTAGCCTATAACTATATTGGCCATAACATAACTTATGTTATGGCCAATATAGTTATAGGCTACACATTTTCATAAGTAATATAAGATTAAGTTGAGAGTAAGACTAATTGGTTTGAGTTTGAACTGTGATATAATATAGTCCTAAAACTAAAGAAGTCAAGTTGCCATCCATAAATTAACAAGACACACTAAATTGCCCATCCCCCCCCCCCCCCAATCAAATCAAAAATGTAAAAATTTATTCATATTTAAATTTCAAAAAATATGTTGTGCAATGAATGATTTTTGGAGTGCAGCAAAAAAAAAAACTAACTAACTAAGAGAACAACTGAAACTGTAATTTCACACTCTAAAGTTTAGTTAAGGTTAAAGTTAGGCTATATTTTCCGACTGAATATGTTTTTCTAAAAGTCAGCATAAAGATTCTATCTTAAAGTCTTCCATTAATAGCATTCTTGCAGCTAAATTATACTTTTATTTTTACAAAAACATACAAATAAAATAATTAAGCAATGATGTTATAATTGATTAAAATTGTTTTTTCTCAGAATTTTTTGCAACTGATGCTGGGTGTTCTGGTGAAGAATCAAGCAATAGATACTACTTAAGGCGGAGAAGGTCACACAGCACTGATGGAATACCAAGTACATCATTCTCATGCAGTGATTCTTCACAGCAACCGCAGAAAAAAAGAAAAAAGGCAAATGCAAACCCTGCTTTGCAACCTCAAGGTTAGTAATATAATTTTCAAATCACTTACAATCCATGATAAATTTTTAAAAATGATACATTTCAGAATATTTTATTGGTATTTTTATTTTGATTTTACTAAATGTCTGAATAATTTTTGTTGTGAATCTCAAATTGCAGGACGTGTTGCTGCTCGATATCTTCAACATGAATTACCTGATGAGGTGATGTTTTACATTTTTTCCTTCCTAAAAGAGCTTGATTTATGTAATGCTGCTCAAGTCTGTCGAAGATTTCGGGCAATCACAAATGATCATGAATTGTGGTAAGTTGGAAGAACCAAAATATTAGTAAATGCAAAATTATATAATTTGTAATAACTCGTCATTAAATCTAATTATGTATGCTACATTGATTGAAATTTTTTTTATATTGTTTAAGTAGTAAGAAGGCTATGGTATGTAATGTTATTTTTAAAATGTTATGACTGTTGATATTACGGCAAAAGAGACTTAAATAAAGATTCAAAATTCCCTCTTGTAAATCTTTTTTTTATTTATTTAGTTTTTAATTTTTAATATTTTTTAAAATTGTGATATTTTACCTCCACAGGAAAGTGCTTTATGTGGAAGTATTTGAATATGAGTCCCCTCTAATGAACCCAGAGCCTCGGGTTTTTCAATTTGTATCTCCCGATGATCCAAATTATGACAATCCATGGAAGGAGAGCTTTAAACAATTGGTAGGTGGTTGGTTTTTTTACTAGCATTGTAAATTTCTTAGCAGAGTTATTTTTCAACAACATAAATTATCTCTTCTTTTATATTAAAAAAAAAGGATAGTCACATTTAATTAGTAAAAGCCATCATGTTGTTTTAGCAACTATGTCAACTATAACAAGTTTTAAATTTCCAGAATAGAATCAGACGTTGCGATAATTATAAAATGTTTCTTAACCTAGTTGCAAAGAGTTAAATGAAATTGTGCAAATGTGTGTTTTCACCCTCTTGTTTTTTTACCTAATTCACTAAATAAGGAGGGTTATAATGACATAATGTGTCACTGCCCAGTATATTCATGGAACTAAGTATTTACCTAAATAAATTCTGACTTTCAAGACCTGACCAATAGAGATTTGTTCCAATAGGGCATTCTTTGAATCCTCAATTGTATTTTCCTATGCACAAGCGTCTGCGAGAAAAAGGTATTGTCCATATTGTGAGGACAGTTTTCACCCTCCAGTCAAACAATGTTTACTCAAGCACAATAATTTAGTTTTCTTTGCTTTATGAACATGTCTCTATATACAATTCATGCCTTTATAATAGTTTGTAACTGGATTCAGAGATATCACAGTCATTTTGTCTCCTTTTTTCAAATAAGCGTTCAAACATGAGTTAACATTTTTTCTTGTTCTGTATACCATGAGATAGAATGACAGTTTATTTCATTTTTTTTCTGTTTGGTGTAATAAGCTATAGAAGCATTTAAGTGTTAATTATGATCTAAGCACAAAGTTACTATTGAAATTTTATAATTTTATATGATATATATTTTAATTTGCTTTGTACAGTACCGAGGAATACATGTCTCAAGACACAATATTCCATTGTGTGAAACAAATAAAGGCAAACGCATGAAGGGCAGAAATATTATTGTAAGTAAAATTCATTTAGCTGTTTACTGAAAACACAGTTAAATATCAAGTACTAACCTAAATCCAACCTTACAATAATATAAAGAAAACTTGCTGGTTATTCTGTTGATCATTACAAGCAGTTTTTCATGTTTACATTGCCATTTAGCAGTTTTTTTACTTGTTGTTTCATCAAAAGTCAAACATTTTGTCCTTTTTAAAAGGGATTTTTCCTTTGAATTTTCAACCTGTATAAATATATTTTTAATTGCTCTGTGAGACTTTAATTTTCTGTGGTATTAAAATTTTTTAAATGGAATATTGATATTGAATTTACAAATAAATTATAAAATTTTAAAATTGAATATTCCTCTGCTTAACATTTTTATTTTAACAGAAATTTGACACCATTGAGTCAGCATACAACTTTGCTGATACAGAAGAATTAGAGGATGCTCTTATATTTATGCACTCTGGTGTTTATCATGGGGAGTTTCTTTTAATAGATTCTCCAGTATCTTTAATTGGGGCAGGTATGTGACAAATCTTCCTTTAATATACTTAATATTTCACACACAGTTAATTATTTAAAGATTATTTTGATTGAAGTTGTACTTATCTTGTTTAAACCCATTTACTCAATTTAGATAAAACATAGATTGTGTTTTCAATACGAATTTTCAGCTTTAAATGCTTTTTATTATCTACCCAGCTCCTGGAAATGTGATGGACCATGTGGTCATTGAGAGAGAAACAGAATCAACTATTATGTTCGTTGAAGGTTGCAAAAAAGCATATTTAGGATATGTAACATTAAAAGTAAGGACAGTTTAGTTATCATGCTATTGTTAGGTGAATTGTTTAATTAAAATTTTTGCTGGTACATTTTTAATTAAAAAAAACTACAAAATTTGATTATTCAGTTGTTTAAAAATATTCTCAGTTTTGAAATTATTTGAAAAGTTTATTTTAACTTAATCCCACTTCTGCCAAAACATTTTGCTGTGAAAGCAGCTCTATTTATTATGTTGGCCATAGTTTTTTTACTTTCCTTATTACTAGAATAAACTTTTTTTTTTATATAATGATTTGTGCTATCCTTGAAGCAGTTTGGATGGAACCAGGTGCTGTAATTGAATTTGTTATTGAACTTCAGAGTAAGTTATTCTTTGTTTTCTGTTTAACAAAACTTTTATTATTTTGCACTCAGATTTGTATTTATTTATTTTTTTTTTCATTTAGTTTTCCCCAGACAGTACGTCTACTGTCCCTCATCACCGACATTATGCCCTTGAGGTAGCTGAGAACACACAGCCAATTATTGATCATTGTAAAATAAAAAGTTTGTCTGTTGGTAAGTTTGATAAGCTACTTGAGATAACTGGATGCTGCACTCAGTCATGTTCTCTCCATATCTATAACCTCTTATCTGAGCAGATAATAATTTAGATGTTTTTTTTCTCTGCCAAATTGTACAGTCCAATAACAGAGGAATATTTAATTTTTATATTATTAATAGAAGGTTTTAACTGAAAATATTTATTTTAACAGTTGGGGCAGCTGTCTGTGTTTCGGGTCAGAATGCAGACCCAACCATCATAAACTGTGTCATACGAGACTGTGAAAATGTTGGCCTTTATGTTACTGATAAAGCAGAGGTAGGAGATTTTCTTGAAAAGTATTCATGTGACCGTTAGCTAAAATGATTGATTACAAAATTAAAGGAAAGTAAACTTTCTGAAATATCAGTCTTAAGATATAACCTAAGTTGAATAGTGATGGTGAATTCTGTGTTATTTTTTTGCTTTCAGGGTGTCTATGAAAACAATGAGATAAGTGGTAATGCCTTAGCCGGTATCTGGGTAAAAAACGGAGCCAATCCAATTATGCGGAGTAACCACATACATCATGGTCGAGATGTAGGGGTTTTTACTTTTGATAATGGCTTGGTAAGTGAGAAAAAATACTTGTACCATAATACATCAGATTTCATTTTTTTTTCAAATTATTGGTGTACGAGTACTGGAATACAGCATTAAATTTTTAAATAAAATGTAAAATAAATTTTGTTGAGCTGAAACCTACCTCCACTCAAAAAATGGATATGTTTTCTCACCAGTCATATGTATATACATATCCTAAATCCTAAATATCATATATATGATATCAAAACACTTAATTTTGATACAAATTTTCCTTTGTAGCCAACAAGTGTTCAAAATTGCATACTTTTATAAAATATTATTTTATTATATTGCTATTTTGTCACCAAGCAGAGCAACTTTCATTATTGTAATATTTTGAGTAAAATTATTGTTGTTCCTTTTGGAGAAAATAAAAAAATTGTTTAAAAAATTCTCCTTAGGGCTACTTTGATAACTGTGATATTCACGATAATCGAATTGCTGGCTTTGAGGTAAAAGCCGGTGCCAACCCAACAGTGATACACTGTGAAGTGCACCATGGTCAGACGGGTGGCATTTATGTCCATGAGAATGGGCGAGGTCAATTTATTGAAAACAAGATACACTCAAACAATTTTGCTGGTGTTTGGATAACATCCAACAGCGATCCAACTATAAGGTTTGTATTTCAAAATGGGTTTAGCCTGAAAGTTATTTTTCTAATAAATAGTTATTTAAGTCATTGCTGGTGATCTGTTTTGTTTATGAATGTTAAGATTCTATCGGTGCTTTTGAAAAAATACAGTTTTTTAAAAAATATTTGGGTGTCATCTGAGCTATGGAGTGGGGCAACGTTTGGAATTCTTTGGCTTAGCACTGGTTGTTGTTTTTTTTAAGCTCCACAATGGAGTAAAAAGATTGGCCAATATTAAATGGACATAAAGGGAGAGACTGCAATCAGGTTAGAAAAAAAGCAAATGATTAAAACAAAGTATGATGGTAAAACCTGAAAAAAGGGATGTAACAAAACAACGATCGTGTCAGCAGGAAGCCTTCGCCAGCAAACAAATAACAGAATAAAATGTTAAAATAGCACTTACCTGAAACGTAGTATCCGAGAGGGCTGCAAAAGAAGTGTGCCGCAATTGAGTTTTAGCCTTGACTTGAGCTTTATTTTGTTTAAAATGAGGGAAAGCTGCTCAATTTGACATGGTTAATAATTGGAAGTATGAAGTAAAAATCCAAGCCATTCTGCATTTGGCAAAATATAATTTGTTGTGGCCATTAATTGTTATAAATAATAAAAATCTTTATATTAAATGAATCTCTGGAAAAAAGCCTATGACTCTACTCCCTAAGCACAAATTTCCAGCTGTGTGTTCAATAATATGTACAATTACAACTAGGAAACTAAACTAAAGTTTATATCATGTCATTGCAACAAGAGATTTCCAACAGCTTTTTCTTTTTAAAAATCAAAACAGGAAAAATGAAATCTACAATGGCCAACAAGGTGGTGTGTACATATTTGGTGATGGCAGGGGCCTGATAGAGCACAACAATATTTACGGTAAAATGTTTTATTTATATGTATGCTCATATTTAAGCAGTAAACTAACATTTTTTATTTATTTAAATTTCTCTGGCATTCATTATTTTTCTCTTAATTTTAATATTTTCAGTAGGGAATCAAAATGCATTTACATTTTATTTAGTAACAGTTGTTTATTAACAGTTCCATTAGTGCAATAGAAACAAATAATAGGTTTTTCTGAAAGTGATTTAAATTAAACATTTTTATCTCCAGGTAATGCATTAGCTGGTATACAGATTCGTACAAACAGTAATCCTATAGTGAGGCACAACAAAATACATCATGGACAACATGGCGGTATCTATGTGGTAAGTTACTTTTAAAGCCAAATAGCATCAAGATTTTTTTACTTGAGCAGTAAGCAAACTAATCTTTTAATAATCTTAATATATAATCTAACATATTTAACTTACTCTGTGTAGTTAGTTGACATTTCATTGGTTTGTGCATTTCAGCATGAAAAAGGCAAGGGTCTCATAGAGGAAAACGAAGTTTACTCAAACACATTAGCTGGTGTTTGGATCACTACAGGGAGCACCCCTGTATTAAGGCGGAATAGAATTCATAGTGGAAAACAGGTGAGTTCACCAAGCTGGCACCATCTTTTGGAGTGATTTCTTTTATGATGACTATTGGCACATTTATTTATTTTGCAGTATCATAACACTGTGTGGTTTGAAAATATACTGTTTTGAGTTAAGGTGACTAGATAGCATGATACTTTTTCGAATATTTTTATAAATTCTAAACTAATGTTAATTACAATCCTATTCAATAAAATTGTTTATAACTTTAAAATCATTTTAGAATATTGTTAACATTGATGATAATTTTAATGCTTGTTTTTTTTTTTAAGGTTGGGGTCTATTTTTATGATAATGGTCATGGGGTATTGGAAGATAATGACATCTTTAACCATCTTTACTCTGGAGTCCAAATAAGGTATGGAAAGATTTTATAGAACCTCTAATAGAATTCGTTGTTACCATTAACAAATAACGTCATGTAATCCAGATGACCAAGAAGTAGCTTAGATAACAGTGATCTCCCATCAAAGCAGATAGAAAGTTCCGGAGATAGAGCATCTAATGTATCCTCCCTCAGGAAACGTTGTTGTTTTAATAGATAAGCTGGGCAGATAAATCTATGGGCACTTTCAGAAAATTAACCTGCCCAAAGCTTCATTCAAGTCTAATGCCAAATCTGTAACCAAATCTCGCTTTGAAAATTTTCATCACTTAACTTAAATTTTTTTCTTTTTTTTTTTTGCCCCCTGCTTTTGATCCTTGAATAATCACTGTTTTCATAGACCCTAATGTTAGGGCAAAAGAAGCAGTTGGTTTAGTCAAAAATTACCTGAGGGCCTGGTGACACTAATTTGGGATGGCATTTTCTGTGTTCTTTTTATAGCTTATTTTATGTGTGTTCTGTTTTCTTTTGATGTAACCTGTCATGTGAGAACATGTACCCTGTGGAGCAGGAGATTTTTATTGAGAGTTCTTAAGCTGATTTCAGAAATAAATGGCATCATTTTATCATTTTAAATTAACTTGATAGGTAAATTTATAAACGTTAAATACCTACTTTTAGCTACAATTTTTTAAAAATTTCAATCTGCATCAAAAACACTTACAATTTTATTTATACTTTCACTTTGTTTATGCTCTGAACTAATCAAAACTTTATTTGTCATGAAATGTCACTTTCCGTGTCGTTTCATTCTAGGACTGGCAGTAACCCATTTATTCGTAAGAATAAAATTTGGGGTGGCCAAAATGGAGGAATTTTAGTTTACAATGGAGGTCTTGGAATGATTGAGAGCAATGAAATCTTTGACAATGCAATGGCTGGAATCTGGATTAAAACTGATAGCAATCCAGTATTACGTTACAACAAAATACATGATGGACGAGATGGAGGGATATGTATATTTAATGGAGGAAAAGGTAAATCTAATCTTTAAACATTAAACATTCTAATTCAGGAAAAACTTAAATGTTTGGTTGGGGTGGTTAACAATTTTACTTTACAATTTTTTTCAAAGTTAACTTTTATGTTCACTCTTTGACAGGCCTTCTAGAGAACAATGAGATTTTCCGCAATGCTCAAGCTGGTGTTTTAATCAGCACACAGTCACATCCCATCTTGCGCCGCAACCGCATCTTTGATGGCCTGGCAGCTGGTGTAGAAATAACAAATAATGCATGTGCCACCTTAGAGGAGAATAAAATCTTTAACAATAAATTTGGTGGCTTATGCTTAGCCACTGGTGTTGAGCCAATTATGAAAGGTATGTTATCTTTCTCACTCTTAATAGCCGTGAGCCTCAGTAATTGGATTTAGATTAACACAATTTTTATTTCTTTTTAAAGGATCAGATTCATGAAAAAATAAGTCTTTAGTTTTGTAAAGCAACACTTCTTTGTTAGTTATCAAAAAGTGAAAATTAAACAAATTATGAATTGTATTTAAAAAAAAAATCCAAATTTTATTAATTAGTGCATACATTGATTTTTTAAAAATTATCTAATTATCAGGTTGCCAGGAAAATTCCTTATCTGCATTTTCATTCATTTCAGACAATGTCATCTTTGGCAACCACAATATGGTAGACAGGGCAGTAAGTTCTGGGCAATGTCTCTATAAAATCTCCAGCTACACCAGTTTTCCAATGCATAAATTCTTCAGGTAAGTAAGTGTTCATTATTTAATAGTTTTAAAAAATCAGCACTTAAGAAAGCACTAAATAAGAAATTTATTTTGGTCCGTCTAAAAAATCATAAATTTTTTTTTTAATTTATTTTTTAGGTGCCGGACATGCAACACAACAGAGCGGAATGCCATTTGTGTAAATTGCATTAACACTTGTCATGCTGGTCATGATGTTGAGTTTATTCGGCATGATAGATTTTTTTGTGACTGTGGTGCAGGGACTCTAAGTAAACATTGCCAATTGCAAGGGGAGCCAACTCAAGATACAGACACACTGTATGATTCTGCTGCCCCTATGGAGTCTCATACACTGAGGGTTAATTAATGCATCATGTAACCTAAAATCTGTGCTTTCTTACATTTAAGAAAATTGCATTATTTAAATGACAAGATTCACATTCATGGATTGAGCAAGTGTGCGTATAATAGGAATGGTGCCATATAGAGGATATGCATTACATGGAATTTGAAGAAGTAGTGTATGCTTAGTGAATCCTGATCATCTACATTTGCTACTACAATTTAACCTGGAAAAATAACCTGGAAAGACATTTGGAAGCAAGTTATGAAACTGAATAGATCATATCAACAGCTTTGGACTATTAGCTGATGTGCAAGAAAAGAAAATATTTTTAACAATCTTCAAATTGTCACGTTCAGAACTTAATTTTTCAAAAGTATTATTATTTTAGCTGTGAATTATTTCAGTTGTTCACAAATGACATGTTTTTCATTCAGAATTAAGCGTGGTTTATAAAATACTTGGAATCACCAGTAACTGCATTTTGATAGTTATTGTTGAACAGTTATATTACTGTGAAGAGCATTATTGTAATCTTCTAATTGTTGGAGATAGAAGAGGTTAATAGTCGCTTGCAAGTGGATGGGAGGTGGGCTTTGTGGGGATGAAACTAAATTATTCAGCATTTGTTTCATGTGTCATTTTCTCACTTGATTATCCAATGCGTCCGAGCAGGAATTCCAATATATAATATAATTGGTTTTTATCAAGTAAAGTGATTTATTAAGTTTTAATTGATTAGGTTTGCATCACCATGCATATATTTCATAAGGTTGAAATAAAGAAAAACAACCAACAAAACTGAAATCAGACCTTTTATTTAAATGAATTTGCTACTAACTGTGCTGCCTCTAAATGCCAAGAACATAGTGAGGCAGGCTTTAGTTCACTTCATTAAGCCTCTACTTACTCTCTGCTGGCTACCTGTGACTGGAATATATGAGATGTCAATTTGCCTCTAAAAAATGCTGAAAACGAATATTTACAGATGTAATGAAATAGTGTCACTAACCAATTGATAAGTGATTTAGACTTTCAGGAGTTTGGTAGTTTCACTATTATGATTACCTGCTTATATTCACATCATTTATATATATATATTTATATTATATAATTATTTTATTAGCTTCAAAATGTGAAATGGATTATACCACTTCTATTTTTGGTACACAAAACATCATCAAAGTTTTACCACTGGACACAAATCTTTTTGTTTTTGTACAATTTGTATATTACTATAGTTTTGCACCAGTGGTGCTCAACAACTGTACATACTTGTATATTATGGGCATTAATGTAAAATATATAATGAGAAAGAGATAATATACATTATTGACTTTGCGGTGTTCTTACCCCCCATTTTTTTTTTTTCCCCCCCCCCCCCCCCCCCACTTTTTTTAAATATAATGATTATTCTGTTTGACATGCAAGATTGCTCTTCGGGATATTTCCTGTAAGATTTCAGTATAACAGTTGTTCATTTGATATTATATTTAATTCCTGTTTATGGCTATTTAAGTATTTGATCTCCTGATGTGTAGTACTTCAACTCTTGTCCAAATGGAAGAAAAACACTTGTAGTGGACAAATAAACCTTATTTATATAGAACTTTATCACTTGTTGTAGTTTTGGAAGTTAGGACTGAAAATTGTAATGTTATTTCTAATGTCCAACTTTATTCAAAAGAATTCATATAAAAAGGTTTCTGAGTACAAAATTGTATAAATCTCTATTTACCAACATATTCTGAAGAGAGATTTTCAACTATGCCTGAAATTTAAAAAAAACTGGCTAATATTTTTAAGGCTGATTACAACATGCTTTTTCATTAATTAATTAAGAGCATTCCTTGTCATGTATTGAACCTTTTTTTTTGCCTTGTTGGTATATGCATGGATGTTTCATTAGTGGCCTCACATAGGAAGTCACTAAAATTCAAGTTATTCTCTATTGTGATATTTTGGGGGCATTTATTTTTTGTATAATTTTAAAATACCATTTTGTAACTAAACATCCTCAAATCTAGAGACCTTTTATTATGTTATCCATTTTGTACCAGATAAAATAAATTATATTTTGTATTTACATTCTTAAAGACAACTACCCAATTCTATTAATCCACATGGATCTGATTTTTATGTTTAGAACTTGATTACTAAGAGAAAATTTCAATTTCACTTACTGAAGATAATTACTTAAAGTTTTTAGATAAACTGTCCATTTCTTATCTCAGGTTATCCTGCATTTCTTTGAATAAGCATTACAATGATACCTCTGTGAAAATTGAGCTGTTGCAACTGTGTATAATGCAGGAGTTTTTTCGTTAAATATCAATATAATAAACCCTCCCTTCAGTGGTAACTTTAGGGAGCTTTTCCAAAACCTTTTTTTTAAAAAGGCAAATCTGTACCTCACGTTTGAAAAATAAATAACTTTCTATTTATTATGTTTATGGTATCATGCAATAAAAAGGTACATATTTGGGTTGTGTACAAATAACTAAGTTGTGGAAAAGAGCTTTTCAGTTGCACTAAAATGGACACCCGTATTTCTCTGACAGTTGGGTTTTAACAAATTTTAAATAATTTGTATGTGTCCTTTGGAACTGAATCCTTACCAAAGAGCATATCTGTTTGTAAGCAATCAAATCCTAATAAATTGTCCTGTTAGCAATAATAATGTTAAGCACGGTTGAATGTCAGTATGGGGTTGCCATCAAGCGATAAAAGAGACAGGTCTTGTCACACATGGTTTGATGTTTTTTGGTTTTGTGCTTGTGGTAAACTCAATGTGGGCCAGTTCAGTTAGTGTACAGTCATGACATCAACCGTTACAAGGATCATGTATCTGTTTAAAGATATTCTATTTATGTTCATGCATTTTGACTGTGTTCATCAATTCATAAACTTGTTGATTAACTGTGACATTTTTTAAAAATATCTTTATTTGGGGAAAGGCTTTATGTCTCTGTCTTTTTTTTTCCTTCTTCACGAAATGATTGTTGGATTAATATTAGCATTCTTTCAATTCTTTTATGCAATCACTTTGAGAATAATACTTTATTTTAGCTTTAGTTTCCATGCAAGTCTTATTTTCCAAATTATTTTTTTTATACTATATGAAAATTACTATGTTGCAGTAACTTTTTTTTGTTACTGCGTACTACATACCTTGCATAAATAATTTTTGTTAAATGTCAAATTTGGTAGGGGTTCTCCAAAAACAAAAAAACTAAGAAATATTTCTTGATAGCCATTAAAAAGTACAAATCTTCAAACACTAAAAATATAATTCTTTAGCCAATTAATTAAGTGAATGCTCTTAAAAGTTTCAACAAAATCTACTTTTGCCAGATTTTATTTTGACTCTTGTTTCATGTTGGGATCATCTAATATTTTAGTTATTGGGATGTAGTTGTGATAAATGTACAACATAAATAAAGCTGTGACATGTCATATGGTTTGTTTTTTTTATATATATAATTTCAGTTTTCTGTGTCATTAGTGAGTGTTTCAGTGAAACCTTCATTTTTTTTTCCAGTTTACCATTACATTTAAATTTAACAAAAATAGCCCAATTTTGTAAAAACTAATACAAATTTAGTTTACTACCATTGGGACAAAATAATAATTATTTCTTATACTGGTGTGAAATAACCCACCTATAAATTAAGGTCGAAGGAGAGCCACCTTAAACTCAAGAAAGAGGGAAAGCTAAAACATTTTTAGGTTAAAAATTTAAAAATTCAGTTTACATGCATTTAAAATACATTTTTTTTGGGTTGTAACTTTTACTTTTTAACAATGTATTAACCAAAACTGTTTTACTGGTTTAAATATGTTAAGTAATAATATGGTAATCTGATAAAAATTGAAAAGTTTTACGAGAGCCCACTCCTGTAAACTACATTTTTAAAGTAAATTGAAATGTTAATCACTGGTGATGCAGTGTGGTAAAATGAAGCATTATTTATTGGAGGTAATAGGATAAGCATGCTGTATGTGTCGCTATAAGGAACCAAAAAAGAGAAGCTTATATTGTATTTGAAAGGCATGCTTAGGCAGGTGCCCGAATTGAAGATCATTTTTTTGCATTTTGGTATTGTTCATCATGTTCATTGACAACACATTTATGCTCATCTGACAAGAGAGGATTTATTCATATTCAAGATGATTGACTGATAATGTATTTTTATTGCCTTATTATAAATAATTTGTTGTTTCTATAGAAAGGGACAAAAAAATATATAATTGACTAGGGGAGCAGAGGAACCAAATCTACATGTTTGAGAACTCCTGATTTAACGTTTGGTTACAGTTTGCACTCAGAATGTCATAGTAAAAATTCGCAGAGGAACTTAAAAGCTACTTTAAAAAAAGAAGCAAAATGTAATCACTATCACATCTAAAGAAACATGAACTGAAGGTTTGTTTCATTTACTTGGACATGATTATTGATTTCCAAGTACCTTTGTGGTAGCAAAAGATGAATAGGGCTTATTGAGCATAGGAATCCTTTGGTGTAATTTATGTTTCCAGCATGTGTTTGATGATTTTATGACTAAGTGATTTCAATCCTAAGTTTATACATGTAAAAACTGTCATGATGTGGAAAGCTGCCTTCACTGTATGTGAGTGCTGATTCCTAGTCAATCATCCCCCCCCCCCCTTTTTTTTTTTTCTCCAGGTGGCTTCCTTCTTCCATCCTTGCAGTAAGATGAACTATTTGGATGACATATTTTTTAATTCCTGTCAGTGAAATCTTTAATTTATAAAACATTACTCCTACTATATTAGCCCCTACTTTGTTACTTGATTATTTATGATTGTGATGTTTCATTGTTCAATTTTTCATGGGTTTCTTGATTTCTTGTAGGCCATATAGCAATGTCCACATTGACAAAAATGTATTGATATAAACATGATAGCAATTGACTGTGACTCCTACAGAGAGATAAAACAAAGGTAAACATTTGACATTGACTTCATCAAAGTGAAAGCCTTCTCTTTGTAATAAAGACATTTCATATTATTAATAAATAAAGAACTTAAAAAGACTTGATTTGTTTATATTTATTTATTATTTTAGATTGTGTTTTAAGCCAGATAAAAGTGAGTAATAGTCAATTATAAATGTAAATGTTGAAATTATGCATTTGGTAGGGTTATTTAAAATTTTAATTGTCTCAATAAGGGGATACAATTCTGAAAGCACAAATGAAATAGAGTGAGGTTGTTCGATGGTCCTGGCCGAGAAAATACTGGCACAAGTTACTAATCTAACTATTGTCAAAACCATCTTATCTAGTAGACAAGGTTTGAAACTTCTACTCTGTTTTATTTAATAATATGGGACCACCCCACCTTGTTAGAAGATATTGATATCAATTATCAAACATTTTATTAAGATGCACATTTCACATTTGAACTAATTAATTTTGTTGTGGGGAATTATTTCTATAAAAAATCCATGGCTACACCCATTCCATTTTATGTTGCCTGTTTTTTTTTAGTGGGTTTTTTGTTAGGGTATACTAAATACCTAAAAAAAAACAACTTAAGAACAATAGGAAATCCACCAAATAGGGCCAACACATCGGTTTTAATTCACTAAATTTAGAATAAGCAAGTAAAATAAAGGTAATTTTTTATAGTTGAAACTCTGAAATGTGGAAGGGTATATATGGGGATGGTGAACGGCTAACGGCTTCATGGCAGCTTTTTATTCCCAGAATAATTAACAAAAGTTTTTTACTTTAAATAAAAACATTCGTGATTAGTTAAATAATTGGTAGATTTATGCCAATAATGCAGTTTAGTAAAACTTTTCAATTACGGTACATTATAACGTAAATAACTAATTTGGTGTAGTAATGGGGCCGTTCACAAAGTACGTCACGCTATTTTTGACAATTTTAACCATGTCACAAACTATCACAAATCTTGGAACCCCCCCCCCCCCCCC